ATTGTACAGTGGCATTAAGGGCCGAAATGTGCACCACTGCCTACCCCATCGGGGATAAAAAGGCGTGATGTTATGTTATGTTAATACCAAATAAGATAAAAATTATTAACACGTCTAAGTATTAGGGCCTTTTGTGAATTGACCAGGCTTAGACAAATATGCTTGATGGTAGTGCAGAATGCAGATTGACTTTTTCCATTATAAACTTGACAGTAAAAGTGTTAAGCTATTAAAGTAATATCTTTATAAACAAATGCAAAAGTAGATCATTCCTGGCTTCTACCCATGAACTACACTCTAAATAGAGTGAGAAAGAGAGCGGGAGTGTCACCACGCGTGGAGGATTCGAGGAAACTTAGGTCTTTTTTTTAAGGGGGGAAAATCATCGAATGACTGCTCCCGCCTGGGTGAGGCGGGAGGGAGTGTCAGACTCTTACTGACTAGAACCCACCCCGTTCCTTCTCCCGCATGTCAAGCCGGAGCCCCGGTAACCCGTTAGGTTCTCCGCGACAGGAAATTCCCCAATCTCCCCAAACCCTGAATCCCCAACGATCCTCAAAATCGTAACGTACTTGTAACGCCTCCGGTGTTCCAGGTGTCTATGGGCGACGCCAATTGCTTACCATCAGGTGATCCGTCTGCTCGTTTACCAACTTATGCCATAAAAAAAGTTTATATTGAAATTATAAGCCCAGGTTTCTTCACGATGATTTCCGTCACGGTTTGTCATCATTTTTGAGTGTGTTTTTAAACAATATCTTTTCGTATTAAGTCCTCTTACCTCACGACATACTATAAATACATTTAGTTGCACAATTTTTTGCTTACGCCTTCAGCGAAAAAAACGCGAAGTCGAAACAAAATAAACAATATAATATTTACATAGAACTTGACAATTCCACATACACATAACACATTTTGTGTCGAGTTTAACTTGTCTGTTTGTTCTAAGTACAATGCAAAGCTTTACTTGTAATGTACTTGCGTACATTTTAATGGAAAATTAACAATTTTTACACTGAAAACAATGTACCAAGGTACAGATTGTATACGTAAGGTCAACATTCATTTGACGTCACAATATTTTATCCTTTGACTGTCTGTGGTTTGTTGCGGAAAAGGAATTAGACTGAAAAGTAGGGCGACATAAATATGCTACACTACAGACCGTACTATTTAGTATTGTATTAATAGTCGTATAAATATATTTACATATATAGAGATATAATTATTTTAAAAAAGCGAATCTTAATTGTCGTTTTGGTATTGGACTGTCACTACTGATTAAAGTGGGAAGCGAAGTTACTGAAACGATTGCGAGTCATATAATCATGGTAATAATTAAAATCTATCTATCTACCTTATTCCTTTAAACATGCAATTCTTATATATCTTTATATGTATATAATAGCACCGATCTCGTAAACGGCTCCATCGATTTTATTGAAATTTTGTACATACGATAAATCGATCTAGCTCAGTTTCATTTTCAGAAAGTCTTATTTTGTCCGTGTTTTCATTGAATACAAACCTCCTATAATGTTATTAAAATACGTAAATTAAAATTTGTTTTGTAAACTCTTTAAATAGCTTTATCAGGAAATCGGGACAACTTGTGCCTTGAGCAGGACATTCGGGTCCAATCGTTGGCCTTAATGTGTCTTTTATTTTTTTGTTTTATCTTTTGACCTATTTTTCTTTTAATTTTTCCAAAAAAAAAATATAGGTATATATAAATATATACTAAAAAGAAAAACCACTGAGCAAAGATTAGTCACCCAGGTACTAAGAATAATAATGTTAATCAATGAGAATGGTTTGATGTTTTGTTATCAGGTGGTGGTCGGTAGTGAAGTAGGCGTGATGAAGACGCCTCTAGTTGGTCCCCGGCCGTATAACGCGCTGGCGATCATCCACACCCAGCAGAGCAACACCTTCGATATGCTCAACTCTCTTACCACCAGTGTCGTGAGTATTATTTATTGTTCCGCTGAAGGACGTTGAAAAAATGCGGACACAGTCCCTAGGGGGCCCCAGCGAATAGAGCCCATACCCTGATCAAAATCCGTTTTGTAGATTCAGCTTGATTGACGGACAAACATCCAAACAAAGAAACTTTCACTAATTAGTGTGCTGCCTCTCGAAAGGAATCCAACTCGAATCTTATGAAGAGTTAGCTAACGACTTACAATTTTTGTATACGGAATTAAGCAGCCTGTACCTCACGACACAAGGAATTCCAGAGTGAGGTGGACCTCATTTTTTTCTGAAATAAATGTTGTTCTTATTCTTCATTATGTTTTATGTTATCTATTTAGAGATACACTGTTCATTCTCATAATATTTGTATAGAACAGGAGTTGAACAACAGTAAATGGTTTATCTTAATAATGTCATGAGAAGTTTACTGAAATAAATGGTTACGTTTATGTCCCAGCATGCCTTTAACCGTCCAGTTTATTGTTGTAATCTTTTTAACTGTTTATTTTATTGCTACACGTGGCCGCTTGTAGTAAACGATCGTAGAAAATAGACGTTAAATTGATTGTGTAAAAATGTTCAGCATTTGAGCTATATTTTTTACATTAGCCGGCAAACGACCCGTCTGGTCGCCTGATGGTAAGCAATCGGCGCCGACCATAGATACTCTAAACATTAGAGTTACAAGTACGTTGCCGGCCTTTTGGGGTTAGGAATTTGGGGAGGGGGATCGGGCTTCCGGTAACCTCGCTCACACGGCGAAGAAACAACGCTTGCGTTGTGTCTTTACCTAATTACGTCGATTTTTACGTCACGTCAGTTTATTTTATCTTATTGAACACTTCAAAGTAGCGTTGCCACCCCTTATAGTGATCAAGTACATCAGACGGATCTGAATTGTTAAGGTTTAATGTTTTGTTTTGCTTTCTGACTTGTATACCAGTACAGTGAAACCTGGTTAAGTGAGACATCAAGGGAACTGCAATGTCGTTTCACTTATAGAGGTATTCCACTTACCAAGTGTCTCAAGATGTACAGGTATAGATAAATATCCGTCTCATTTACAGAGGGTTCCATTAATATAGGTGGACTTACGTGTGGAATTTGTGGGTAGAATAAGAATGAGTAAACAAACAATGTTATCTCAGTTACAGAGGTTTATGCATATAAAATTTACTCGCTGTCTCAGTTATAGAGGTAACTATGATGATAAATCGAAAGAACAAATCCCAGATATAGAAGTTTACCTCGTCCCACTAACACAGGTAATTTAGTGCCAAAGTGTTGGGACCTCAGCATGAATTCCAGTTATGGAGGTTTCTCACTTATCCAGGTCCCACTTAAGCAAGTTTCACTGTATTTGGGCATTAGTAAGGTGTCAAAAAAATACCCACTCTTTAGTTTCACTAATAAGTCAGTGGGTGCGACCCGTGCGTCATCTCATGGTGTGTAATAACTGCAATATCTTTACTTTGTCGCTCCCTGCTATTACGCATTGAGGTTTAAGATAAAACTGCATTACTAACAAAACTGACGAATGACACATACGAACAAATGCTCACTATATATTAGTCAAAGCTTTTTCATGATTCACAAGATTTACGGCTCTTAACATTATCGATTTTAATTTTTAATAAACGAGAGGCAGTGGCGCTGATAGTGGTTCGATGCGTAGAGCTGAAGACCGAGCTCAGTGGCGTGCCATTGGAGAGGCTTATGTCCAACGGTGGACGAAAACAGGCTGTTGATGATGAGAGGCAGTTACAGCTGCGTATGCGCAAAATGTTAAATGATATATAAAAAGTATGATGTCATAAAATAGGGAAATTAATTAAAAGGTGACACATTGAAAAGGGCCACATTAAAAATATTAAAAGTCGCTTACCTCTAACTGAATGACATTGTATTATTATATGAAGTCATCTTGTTTTATCATGTTCCAGGCTAGTCAGCCCGTGGTCGGAGTGGGAGTAGGCGTCGGGGGATTTCACCGAAGGAGTTCTGGCCAGGGTACGCTGTGCGACCCTGAACTGGACGACAGCGGGAATAAACTGGTCGCCAGGCTTGAGGACGATGCCTTCATCTCGGAGCAGGATCTGGTAAGTCGTTTTAAAATGTTCTGATTCTGATTTAAGAATTGTTTTCTCATAACCACTCTAACGTCCGGGCCGCGCGACCGTTTATCTCTCTAACGTCCAGCTGCGCGCGGCGTCCGAACCGCGCGCGACTCGCAAGTTCGTCGTAACAAAAAACCTATATAGCTACTGAACCGTAATGGCTAGAATAAAGAAAAAAATACCAAAAAAAAGATTGAAGAATACTGATCAATCTTAACAATTTTTTTAAATCGTAAGTTATAATCTTTGATATAAAAAACCGGGTTAAACATGTAATTCAGAAAAAAAATACACAATTATTTCTACCTTTTTAAAATATAAGGCACAACTATTGCATATTTTATCAATAAAATATTCTTACAACAAACTAGACTTATTACCCTTTCTTCTGATGTATATACGATTACATTCGGTTAACTCTAAGTATTTTAATTAAATCAAAACAAAACACTACTCCTCGTAATTTTACCGCGATCTCCCGAGCGCCCTTGACTCGTCCGAGAAGGCGAAATAATAGCAATATGGCCGCCCGTCTAAGGTTTCCCACACACGATGTAATTTTAATAAAATATTTTAAATAATTTTATGAATTAGTTTTATGCAATAATTGTATTTTTGAAGTTGTTTATTTGTTCTAGTTGGTTATTTAAATAAAAAGCAAATAAAAAAATCAATATATAATATAATAATTTATTCTTTCCACACATTTATATATGGTAAGCCATAAAACAATTTTCAATGCAGAGATTGACGTCGCATTGTAGACACTTCCATATGGTCACCGCGACCCCCACGTCCCCTGTTTCCCCCACGTCCCCTGTTTCCCCCACGTCCCCTAGTTCCCCCATTTCCCTCAACATAAAAGCTTTCATTTGGTGATCTGCATGAATAATTTAAAACATTAGTATTGTTAAAAGAATAAAATAAAATTTGGCGAAGCATTAAAATATATGCGACCATGCAACACGTGCAAGGGCAACAGTAAAAAAGAAAGGTAGTCAAATCCACAAGTGCATTTTTTTACATTTAGCGGAAATTAATCAACACGAACAAACATGTAATTAATGTTTCAAAACAAAAAAAAACCATTAGAACATTATACATATCCAACGGAAACCAAGCGAAAAATAAATGATGAATATTAGTACAAAACCCAAAAGTGCATTTTATATTAAATATTAGTATCATCTCAAGCAAAATATTATACCACCACTAGCAAAACAAAAATAATGCAAACATATTTTGCCGTGTATAGCGAACCTTATTTATCACGTTTCATGTAACGTCCGTGGATACCAAACAGTCCACATCAAAAAACCTGAGGAACACATTGACATTATTATGGAATCTTCAGTGAATTTAGTATATTTCTCTTTGAAAAATGTATTATTTTGCTTATTACGAAATGTATTTCGATATTTTATATACTATTGTAATGCAAAGTATGTAAAATATGTATAAACAAAACTAAAAGTAGCCGACACCATACGACCGGCCATTTTTTTCGAAACAACAATCGTTTGAAGTTAAAAGTAGACTAGATTTATCAGCTAAAACTGTGATATTTATACATCATCGTAAAGCACAAATCTTCTAGTTTATTTTGATGTATAACACTTGCAAGATAAATAAAACAAAACTGTAGTACTTACGACATAATTGTTGGCACTCACAAAAACACTTCACAACACGCGCGTCAAACGAGTCAACTGAACTTAAAAAATTATATTTTGTTTGTCAAAGCTTATTACACTGCCATCTCTATTTTTTTCGTCGAACTATTTATTCAACTGTATAGATAATCTGTCAAAACTCACCAAGCAAGACCGTATTTTAAACTAGAGGGCATTAAACACAACTCGTCGCTTTGGATACTATAGTATCCATGGGCGTATGACGCTACTTTTTTCTTGGATACCGTACTATCCACGGACGTCAGAGTGGATAAGTATACAATTCACTTAAGATATGAGAAAACATGATCACTTCAAATTAAAGTATAGAGTATGAGCATGCGGGCGGTACATTGTTTTTTTTTTTCATATAAATATCCTCTTTTATGTAATAGACCATAGTTTGCTCGCTATCTCGCTGTGTGCTTTTTAATGAAGTTGTATTTTTTGTAAACATCGATCGCCTCGGTAGCCAACCAATGGTTACAGACTATCTGAATTAATCTTTACTTACCTGCATATAATAATTTTATTTATTTGAATTAACTAAAATCGCGGGTTACTCACGTGAATATACTGAGAAAAGCTCTACTAATACTAATTTCGAACCACAGGGGTTAATTATTAAATATAAAAAAATAAAACTAGTTAATTTAGTATGTCTCATGATAGTTATTATAAAAATATATTTATTTGGTTTATAATTGCTTTACAGGAAGAAAATATCGAAATAGCAACTGCAACTGAAAAACGAATATCAAAGACTGATGCATCTGGAGAAGATCAACCACAGGAGCCACAGAATGGTAGTTCTTACTTTTTATTTTATTAAAAAAAACTTTTATAATCTACATTTAAAAAACGTAAGAATCGTAGTAATTGGCGTTCCTTAGTCTCTGCCTACCCCCATGGGAGACAGGCGTGAAGTTATGTATGTATGTATTTAAAAAACCGACTTCAACCCGCCCTTTTTTAATCGGTTAATTAAATACATACATAACATCACGCCTTTTATCCCCGAAGGGGTAGGCAGAGGTGCACATTACGATACTTAATGCCACTGTATCGACATAAATCGGTTAATTAATATACATACTAAAACCTTTTCTTAAATGTAACAAACACTTTTCTGAAAACTGCATCAAAATCGGATCAGCTAATCGCAAGATAATTTTTTTTATGGCATAAGCCGGTAAACGAGCAGACGGATCACCTGATGGTAAGCAATCGGCGTCGCCCATGGACACCTGGAACACTAGAGACGTTACAAGTGCGTTACCGGCCTTTTAGGGATTAGGAGTTTGAGGATCGTTGGGGATTCAGGAATTGGGGAGATTGGGGAAGGAGAGGGTAATTGGGCCTATGGTAACTTCACTCACACGACGAAACACAATGCAAGCGTTGCTTCACGTCGGTTTTCTGTGAGGCCGTGGTATCACTCGAAGTCGGTTAAAAGAAATCCATTCATTACAAGAAAAGTTATTTTTGTAAGCCTTTTTTTTTTTTTTTTTTTTAAGGGGGGAAAATCATCGAATGACTGCTCCCGCCTGGGTGAGGCGGGAGGGAGTGTCAGACTCTTACTGACTAAAAACCACCCCGTTCCTTCTCCTGCACGTCGAGCCGGAGCCCCGGTTACCCGTTAGGTTCTCCGCGACTCCGAATCGGCATCGGCCCTATTGGGCCCCATCTGTGGTGGTCTGATGGCTCTTTGAGGCGCGCGCGGAACGCGACGCGCCGTACGCTCGGGTCTGTTTCTGGTCGGACGGGGAGCCACCCATGCTCGCCGTCCGCAGGCCCGCGCTTACGGTGGCCGGAGATCGTCCCGCGATCCCCGACGCCCGGTGTGTCCTTCGCGATGGCTGGGTTGCGAGGAGGCAGCGCTTCGCTGCCTCACGCGTCCCGCCTCCTCCTTAGCTAGCATGACTGCTTCGCAAAAGGAGGAGACGGCATCCCAATCCCCCTCGCTCCGCATCATGGCCTGCACTAGGCCCGGACGCGAGAGGTCGCCATCGCCGATCACTTCCCTGAGGACACGGCGGTGCTCAGCCCACGAAGGGCATTCTCCCACCGTGTGTTCCACCGTGTCCTCAGGGCGGTCCTCGCAGTGATGACACCCGGGCGTTTCCTCCCGCCCCATCAGACACAGGTACCTCCCGAAACTTCCATGTCCGGTGAGGACCTGCGTCAGGCGGTAGGTGAGGACGCCGTAGCGTCTCTCAAGCCACTCCTCAAAGAGGGGACTTACCGCTGCGATGGCAGCGAGCCCAGCCCTCGGTTGCGACAGTCGTTGCTGCCATTCCGCCATGAGATCGCGCCGGAGCTCATCCCGCCACGCACCTATCTGGCGCGGCAGCGGGGTTTCGCCCCGGCGACGTGCCTCCGCGCGCATGCTGTACACGCGCGCGAGCACCTTCGCCTCCAGATCCCACGGCGGTAATCCGGCAAGGAGGTTCGCCGACTCCCCAGAGATCGTGCGGTATCCGCGGATCATTCGGATCGCCATGACCCTCTGTGCCATGAGCAGCGTCCGAGCGGGACGCCGCAACAGGTTTGGCGCCCAAACAGGGGCGCCGTAGAGGGCCATGGACCGCACGACCCCGGCGTATAACCTCCGGCAGGAGGCGTTTGGCCCCCCGAGGTTGGGGAGGATGCGTTTAAACGCAGCCCCCGTCCTCTCCAACTTTGGAGCCAAACGTCGGAAGTGTTCAATGAAGTTCCACCGACTGTCGAGGACGAGTCCTAGGTACTTCATCGTCGTCTCGACGCCGATGGTAACTCCTCCCGCCGTTATTTGGGACCCACCCGGAGGTGGCGCGTTCCCGCGGCCATGAAAACACATGGCCTCGGACTTGTGGAGCGCCACCTCGAGTCCCAACTGCCGGATTCTCTCAACGACTGTCGCAACCGCTGTCGCCATTAAGTCGGCCGCCGCCTGGTGTGACCTCCCGTGCGCTAGCACCAGCGTATCGTCGGCGTAGCATATTGTGCTAACGCCGTTCGGGAGGTCGGTGCGCAGCACCCAGTCATAGCCGATGTTCCACAGGAGCGGCCCCAGAACCGAACCCTGTGGAACACCGCGTGACATCTCTCGCCGGTTCCACTCGCCCCGGTGACCGGGGTAGCTGACGGACCTGTCCGTCAGGTAAGCCTCGATTACACGACGGAGGTAGGTAGGCACCCGATGATATCGGAGTGCCTCCAAGATGCAGCTCCAGGGCAGGGAGTTGAAGGCGTTGGCGATGTCCAGAGACACCGCCACTACGACCTTACCCCTGGACACTGCAGTCCCCGTCGTGAGGTCTCTAACGCGCATGATGGCGTCCACCGTGGAGCGCCCTCTGCGGAAGCCGAACTGGCCGTCCGACAAGTCCGGCCCAATGTCCGTCAGGTGCGCGACGAGGCGGTTCGAAATGATTCTTTCGAAGACTTTCCCCACCTCGTCGAGCAACACTATGGGCCGGTACGCGGACGGAGAGTCCGCAGGGCGCCCCGTCTTCCGCACGAGGACCAGTTTTCCCGCTTTCCAGAGAAGCGGGAACTGGCCTCTCTCCAGACATGCGCTGTAGAGACCAATCAATCGAGGCCCGAGAGCCTCTGAGGCCAGGACCCATGCCTTGCCATGCAGGCCGTCGGGTCCTGGGGCGGTGTTCTTGGCGCCCATCCGGCGCACCGCCGCTCTCAATTCTGCCTCGGTCACCTCTGGGACGATGTCGTCGTCGTCGTCGCTGTAGCCCGCGTCGGGCACCGCAGGGGGCGGAGTCATATACGGAGGGGTGAACCCCCTCCACAGTCGAGGGAACAGGGTGCCAATCACCTCCTCCAAGACTTCTTGCCGGAGACTCTGGGTGAGCGGGGGAGCCCAGGCGCGGAGCTTGTCGCGTACCATCCGGTACGGGCGTCCCCACGGATCTCTGTCCAGAGTCCCCAGCATCTCTCGGCGGGCCTCCTCCTTGGCCCGCAATATCTCCACCTTGAGGAGGGCCTTGGCCGCCCTGTATCCCTCGTACAACTCCGCCTCTCTCGCCTCCGCATTAGGAGGACGGATGCGGCGCCTGCGGTGCCTAGTGTACTGGCGTCGCGCAGCAGTGCACGCCTTGCGTAGAGCTGCTAGCTCTTGCGACCACCAGTACACCTGGCGCTTTTGTTGCCTCGACCGGATCCGGGGCATCGCCACGTCACAGATCCTGGACATGGCGTCCTGGAGCCACTTGGCCTCATCGTCTATGTCGGCAGGCCTGACCGGTGGTATCACCCAGGCCTGCACGATGGCGGCTTCCAGGAGCAGCTCCCGGTTTTTTTTTTTGTTAGCCTATGCATTTTGTGATACTAATGACCATTTGCAGCAACCACCCTTAGACTATCTCCTAACTAATAGTTACTTAGCGTTAGATAGCACCTAAACTAACCCTTTACCTTTACTTTTAGGTATAACTTATAAAAAATAATACGTTGTTAAGTGTCTTTTTTATTTTAATAGTTTTCAATATATTTTCAGGTTTGGTGTACGGTCCTATTTATGAGCTCGAGAAGTTGGAACAGAAGGACAAGCAGGACAAGGACGACAAAGAAGATGAGGAAGAACCCATCGGAGTCTCGCCTTGTGGCAGGTTCGATACGATCTTCTCTCCCATTGTTAATGACTGGCTATCCCATGCGGTTTAACCTGCCACTCGTCTCTTATTTATCGCAGTGTTATGTTTTGACGTGACAACGTCTTAAATTAGGTTGCGGCTGGGAGTCACTTATGAAAAAGTGTAACGCTCGGTAACGTTACGATGAGTCACCGAACGAGAGAGAGGCCCGCCGAATGCCTTGCGTCTCTCTCCCACTCAACTATGATCGGTCTGCCGCGCGCGCAGCACTAGTTCATTCAATTCCTTGTTCCTATTGTGCAATTTAATTTTATTCATATCAATAAATATTCTACGGAGAAAAAGACGTTGTCACGTAAAATCTTCGCCCGTAAAAACGACTTTACAGGCAACCATTTTTTTTATAACCTTTTTCGATATATCGACTATACAATACAAAAGAATGATTCAATTTGACTGGCCGGCACTGGTGCGGCGGCTGGCCAACCGCCTGCCGTACAACGCGAGCGACACATTCGTGCTGCACTCGCCATATGTGGACCAACTCTTAAGATCTCATCAAACGTAAACCAAACTGTACTAGGCCCTCGGACACACATACTTTCGTATTTAATAACATTAGTATGAATAGTGTAGATGTCTAATTTTTATTTTAATGTCCGTCTGGTAGATTATTTAAAAACATTAGACACGTATTTTTTATTTTCTTACGGAAACGAATAGTTTCGAAGATATATTGATTTGAAATGTCGCGTGACGTCACTTCTCAGTACATTTTATACTAAGAAATGACGTTTTAGCCCCCACTCCTAAACTTTGATTCGTTTTATCCAAGTATTGTTTTATTATACAACAAAATAAAAAATACGTGTCTAATATTTTTTTATTACCTAAGTTACGGACTAATTATATTTTTAATTTTCATACCCTGTCATCATCCCCATTTTCAGGTTCTTCAAGTACGACAAGGAGGTGGGTCGCGGTTCCTTCAAGACTGTGTACCACGGACTCGACACTCAGACTGGAGTCGCGGTCGCATGGTGTGAGCTCCTGGTTAGTGTCTCAGTACTTTAATATTGTCTCCTGAATGGTACCATCACAGTGATCAGTCTTTTGCAAGTTCGGCAGAACCTCCCAAAATCACTGCACCCCCTGTAAACCAGGATAGCCGTTAAGGAGTTCCCTTAGCTATCATAATCCTTCATCATTATGCCCCTAATAATAATCATATCCCATTTAGGTGTAAAGTTCTCATTACTTGAAATTAATCAAGCCCAACCACCAGGTAGCTAACTGTCAGCCCTTGAGGAGTTCCTCTAGCTATCATAATCCTTCATCATCAGGCCCCTATTGACAGTCATACCCCATTTAGATGTAAAGTTCTCGTCACTACAAATTAATCAAGCCCAAACACCAGGTAGCTACTTTTAAATGTTAAGGAGTTCCCTTAACTATCATACTACTTCATCATCAGTCCCCTAATGACAATTACATCCAATCTAGATGTAAAGATCTTCTCAATACAAATAATTTAAGCCCAAATACGGGGTCATTGCTACAAATTCTCGAGGAGTTCCTTCGGCTGTCTCTTGACTCCATCATCAGATCAACTCCATACCTTCATCAAATTGTAGTAGTTTCAAATACTATATCAAAATCTGTCTACAAACGCCCGAGTAATCGCGTAACCAACACACAAAAAAAAAACATACAGCCGAATTGATAACCTCGTCCTTTTTGGGAAGTCGGTTAAAAATGTTGTCTGTCGTTTGCAATAAGTAAACTAACAGTATAGGACATGTAACACCCACTTGCTAATCGTGACTCTAATATGAGCTTACATACACGTAACACTACGCTAATATTAAATATACTGGGCAACGTGTCGCGGGTTCGATTTCCGCACGGAACTACTCTTCGGTCTGGGTGTGATCTATGTAAATTTGTATGTTACGAAACTGCAGAAGATCATAGTTTCTATAAATCAGTATTGTAGAGTAGGAAGTTGGGGTTGACTATTTCCGGCCGACAAAGTAAACAAACAGCGTTTACGACAGTTTTTAATGTATATATATACAGTATGACAGGTCCGTAGACACCTTTTCCCGAGAGGACGAAGGGCGGACCTCTTTTAGTATTAAAAAAAAATGACCGAAGTCGTAGTTTAAGTAACTTAACTAAAGAGGTTTCTGGTAATCATTCCAAGTAGGACGTGATTCCAAAATGCAACTTTAGGTCAGTCGTACATTATTCGATGAACACGCCGGAGGGTCATTAACTCACGGAGAATCTTAACACCGCCATCTAATTTTTGACGTCACGGTACAGTTCCATCTATCGGTGAATATCGGAACTACTGTTTATGTTAGCGCGCGGTAGGCCGTATAGATGTCGCAAGTGCATGTGTTTATTATTATGGTAAATGGTTGTTACAATCTCCCCCTCAGTTCCTGAAGACGTCTCGGCGATTGGAACTGGAGTTCTATGTCTTCTTAGGACGACCACGTCCTCTTTTCTTAGTAGGTAGAGTGGATTGAATAGCCACCTTCTTAGCAGGTCGTCCTCTTCCACGTAGTGGGTGTACTGGTTCAGGGACGATGGTGGCGTCTTCTCCTTTGTAGGGCGTCAGAGCCGATGTATGATATACACCGATTGGTACGGTAGGAGTGTGAGGCGAAGCTATTTTAAAAGACGCCGGACCGTGTTGCTGCACTATAACATAGGGGCCATCTCTTCGGGGCGCGAACTTGGCTGTCACACCCTGATTGCTTCTGCTGATTGGATGTATGTTGACGAATACCAGATCTCCCGATTTGTACTTGGGATGAGGGCGTCTATGCCGGTCAACGTATTCCTTACGAGCTTCTTCTTTCAATTCTTGTACTTCTCTGGCTTTCACGAGGTTATCGGCCAGTGCCCTCAGCTTTGGAGTGATTTCAGGTATGAAATTTTCGGAGATAAGTATGTTTCTGAAATCAATTTCGTTGTCTCTTGGGGATCTCAACTCTCTGCCAAAGGTAAGGTATGCAGGAGTTTGTCCTGTCGAAGAGCAGTTTGAGGTATTCATAGCAAATCGAATGGTAGGAAGAAGATCTGCCCATCGACTATGCTCCTTCCCTTGAATCATCATAGCCAGTTGGGTTTTTAAATCTCTGTTTCGACGTTCCACAGGATTTGTTTCAGGATGATAAAGCGGAGTGTACTGATGCTTTATGTTTAAACAGTACACTACTTGTTGCATTACAGCGCTTACGAACTGTGTTCCATTGTCACTAATCAGTCTTCTTGGTACGCCATATCTTAGGAAGACTTCGTTGATTAGGGTGGTAGCGCAATTTTCTGCGGAAGCGGTGGCCAGGGCAAACAATTCAACCCAGCGCGTCGCGATATCTTCAACAATAAGAATCCATGTCTCCCCTTCTTCAGTTGGCGGAAGAGGTCCAAACAGATCAAAGGACACCACTTCGAATCTTTGTCTCAATGATGTGGTCTGAAGCAAACCAGCAGGTTTCTGGTTTGAGGGTTTGTATCTTTGGCACTCCAAACAATTTTGTATGTAACTTGTCACGTATTTTCGCATACCATTCCAGTAGTACCTTTGAACAATCTTTTTGTATGTCTTCTCAGCACCGTAGTGACCAGCTAGGGGGTCATCGTGGTATGCACTAAGCACATTTCTCCACTCATGTTCAGGTACCAAGAGTTGAGCGTCATCTACCTCAGAATCTGGGTGTAGGCGATATAGCATCCCATTATTTAATAAATAACCCTTGTTGCTCCAATAGGTAGCATCCTCAACGGAATGTTTTTCCTCAAGAGCTTCTATAATTTTCTTAAGCTTTTCATCTTTCATTTGTTCTTCTCGAATTTCTTTAGGACTCCTCTTTGGCATGTCTATGGTTATTGTACAAATATCGCAGGTTTCCTCGCAACATGGAGGTCTAGACAACGCATCAGCCACCGTATTCATTTTACCAGGCTGATATATAACCTTTAAGTCGAATGCCTGTAGTTGCAAAGCCCACCTAGCCAAACGACCAGTGGGTGATTTTAGGTTCATCAGCCATTTCAAGGCTTGATGGTCTGTGACAACAGTAATAGGTGAGCCCTCTATATATGCTCGGAATTTGTTTAGAGCCCAGACTACTGCTAGCGCTTCTCGTTCGGTTGTGGAATAATTCCTTTCAGCTGCGGTAAGTAATCTACTCGCGTATTCTACAGGATGTTCATTTTCTTTCTCCCCCTGGACGAGAACTGCTCCGAGAGCGTATGCACTGGCATCTGTTTTTAAAATGTATGGCTCGGTTCCATCAGCTTGTCTAAGTACAGGTGCTGTTGTCAAACGTTGCTTCAACTTGTTGTAAGCAAGTTCTTGTTCGGTACCCCATACCCAGGTGGCACCCTTTTTCGTAAGCTTAGTAAGCGGTTGAGCTATCGATGAAAAGTTTTCGATAAATCGGCGATACCAGGAACACATTTGCAGAAATGATATTAGTTGTTTAAGGTTTTTAGGGGTTGGCCTATCCAGGATAGCCTTGGTTTTATTTGGATCCGTTTTCAAACCGTCGGGCGTTATGATATGCCCTAAATATTTTATTGAAGAACGCAGGAACTTGCATTTTTCTTTGTTCGCTGTTAAGTTACATTCTCTCATTTTCTGTAATATTCTTCTCAAATCAGAAATGTGATCATCAAAAGTGGTAGAAAATACGATAATATCATCCAGATAAGCCAGCAATTTCATATCACCCAGGGTAACTCGAAATCTATCCACTATGCGTTGAAATGTAGCAGGTGCGTTTCGCAATCCAAATGGCATCCTCTTGAATTTGTAAACGCCGAAAGGAGTAATGAAGGCTGTTTTCTCTTCATCTTCCTCTCGAAGTTTAATTTGCCAATAGCCTGCTTTGAGATCTAGAGACGTCATGTATGGGGTTGGCTTGGCTGAATGCAGCAGATCATCTATTCGAGGGATGGGGTAAGTATCTGGCACCGTTATTGCATTCAAACGGCGATAATCAACACAAACTCGCACATCTCCATTAGGTTTTGGCACCATTACTACAGGTGAAGCCCAAGGGGAGGTACATGGTACAATAATCCCATTCTTTATCATTTTATCCACTTCGGCTTTGAGAATGTCTGTTTTTGTTTGAGACAGTCTGTAAGGGGGCACCGATATAGGGATATCACTGCTGGTTACAATACAATGCTCTCCGAGCAATGAGGGTTCGCCGTTATCTATGAAAACATCCTCGTACTCTGTTAGTAATTTATTAAGTTTAATGTTATGTTGATTAACAATGTCTAAGCTACACAGATCAAGGAATTCGAGCGAAGTGTCCAAGCTCATATCATGTTTTTCTGGACTAGGAAAAAGAGCTCTCTCTTCTTCTGTAAGGCTGATTTCCGCTTCTCGGACGTTACGCTCTGCATCGTTCATGATGAAGTCCGCGAATTGAGGCGAGTATCCATCAAAAATCGTAGTGGGTTTTGTTATTGAAGCCAAATCCAGGGGCGTAAGCTTGTAGACCTGGGCGTCCCTTTGTTTTGGTACTACTACCCTTTGCACAGACCCCAGAGGTCGGGAGGAATGTTCATGCAGATATCCCACATTTTCCAATGTGTTGGTGTGGTCAAAGGATACAAAATCCTCCTGATACAGCTCGTATATCTGATGACTGCCCAGGAAATTCCATGTATATTGAGCCAGATCCAGCACCATCCTCGCATCCTGGATGAATCCTACTCCCAGTAGTGTGCGGTTGTCTCTGGACTCAGGCAAAACTATAAATGTAGTTGGAATTGTCTTACCTTCTAGTTTCACTGGTACCACAGTTTTTAGTACATTTTGTTCCCTCGGCATTCCATCTGCTAGGGTGATACGGGCTTTCTCGCTTATAAACCTCTGTCCCTTTGCCTCAAGTTTTTTATATAGTATATATGAGGCCACACTTGTTTTGGCGCAAGTGTCTATATACGCGACTCCTTTTATGCCTTCAATGTCCACATACACCATTGGTCTGGCTCTCACATCCGATTTGAAGTTGAAGGAGCAAAAGTTTATGTCCGCTGGTGGTGCCTTTTGCTTTATACCAGCACACGTGGTACAACTGCTTCGAACTACGCCTGGTGCGCCGCATCCGTAACAATGTATTGAAGAAGAAGGCGATGGCATTTGTGTTGCCCTGGATTTCTCCAGCTTGGAACGTACAGGAGCTTCAGGGGCTTCAACCTTGATACCATATTCCTCTTGCTTCTTCTTAAGCTTCCTGCACTCATCAGTGCTGTGCCCACTGAAATGACAGAAACCACATTTCTTTTTTGGCTGGAATGGTTTTGTTGGCTGTTGCGTAAGAAGTTTAGCCTCTTTAGTATGTTCATTCCATAGTTGTTCAATGGCTCGTGAAATGTTTAATAGTTCGTCAAAGGTGGTGAAGGAATTTCGGGGAATCTTATCCTGTATTTTGGTCCTCAGTGATCCATAAATCATGTCCAGCTGATGAGATTCTGGAGGTTCAGGTGCTGGAAGCTGAGAGATTAGCATTCTCTTGTACGCCACAAAATTTTCTGTGGATGTATTATTTGTTTGTTTTACGCCAACTATCTCTTGATAAAGTACAAACGCTGGTTTCTTGGGTGCAAAATTATGGCGCAGGCGATCCTTAAACGACTCCCATGTAGAAACATGCTTCTTCACGCCTTGCCACCATATGGCTGCTTCCCCTTTTAGTAGTAGCGGGATACTAGTAAGGGCCTCTTCATCACCGATGTTTTCAATGCGTTTGAAAATAGTAACTGCGGCCAAGAATGCTTCCAGAAGTTCTGTGTCCTTGGTCCCGTCGTAGTATGAAGTACAGGAGGTAAAGGATCCTTGTCTGGATGGAGAAATTTTTTCCAACAAGGTCTTGAATTGGGTTTCGGATAGATTTATCGACATTTCGTCAGGTAATTTCTTTAAAGCTGCTGTCGCTAATCTCCTTGAACGCGTGGTGTTTGCGTACTTGTGGTCGGGCCCACCGTTGGTCGCCAGCTTGTAGAGTAGGAAGTTGGGGTTGACTATTTCCGGCCGACAAAGTAAACAAACAGCGTTTACGACAGTTTTTAATGTATATATATACAGTATGACAGGTCCGTAGACACCTTTTCCCGAGAGGACGAAGGGCGGACCTCTTTTAGTATTAAAAAAAAATGACCGAAGTCGTAGTTTAAGTAACTTAACTAAAGAGGTTTCTGGTAATCATTCCAAGTAGGACGTGATTCCAAAATGCAACTTTAGGTCAGTCGTACATTATTCGATGAACACGCCGGAGGGTCATTAACTCACGGAGAATCTTAACACCGCCATCTAATTTTTGACGTCACGGTACAGTTCCATCTATCGGTGAATATCGGAACTACTGTTTATGTTAGCGCGCGGTAGGCCGTATAGATGTCGCAAGTGCATGTGTTTATTATTATGGTAAATGGTTGTTACAGTATTCAATTATATTATTCCAGGAGAAAAAGCTGAACAAAACCGAACGTCTCCGGTTCCGCGAGGAAGCCGACATGCTGAAGAAACTCCAGCACCCAAACATCGTACGGTTTTACAACTATTGGGAGGGCACTGTCGCTAAGAAGAAGAATATAGTGCTCATCACTGAACTCATGCTCAGCGGAACTCTTAAAGCGTGAGTACTATACAATTATGTTCTACATACTGTCACGGAAACCCTTCAAGGCTATTTGCGTTTCGGCAATCTGATTGGCCTCCTTAAATTAATCAACGAATCACAGGGCTTAGTACGAGTTTAAATTCATCGAAATGAGAAGCGTTCGGCGCTCTAATTGGCCTCCTCAATGGAATCAACAGCACCGTCTCCTACAAAATTAATAGAAGACTGTTGATTTTGAATAATTGAAATAAGTATTAAATTGACCATTTTTCATTGACGAGAGTTACATACATTGCAATGATTTATAATGATAGTTAATGGTTTCTGATTGATTGCAGGTACCTTCGGCGATTTAAGCGGATAAACCCGAAAGTGCTCAAGTCTTGGTGTCGTCAGATTCTGAAAGGATTAAATTTTTTACATTCAAGAACTCCACCTATTATACACAGGTTTGTAGATTTATTTTATTAGCAATGTTGTCCCTCACTAGGATAAAACTTCACCCATCAAATAAATTATAATTATTTATAAAAAAACACCCATCACAAATATACCTCGTTGGCCGGGTTCGCGCGAGGGCGACTGCCGGGCAAGGGGATTCCCGGGTAGGGCAAAGTATTACTGGGGTTTAAAAAAAATTCTTAGTTGTAGCACGGGGTCTAAAATAGTTAAAATAATATCAAAAGCCCATGCCAAAAGGGCCTCCACCTCAGAATATAGTATGTGTCGAATATTTTTTAATCATCTTATTGATGGACATTTTTGATTTTCATATCCTCTTAACTACCCTATTGCTAGAATTGCCCTTAGCATTTGCGCGATGATGAATGTTATGTAAAAAAATATTTTGACTACATATTCCAGAGATCTGAAGTGTGACAACATCTTTATAACGGGTACAACTGGCAGCGTCAAGATTGGAGATTTGGGACTGGCCACACTCAAGAATAGGAGTTTCGCCAAGTCTGTTATAGGTATATATTATAAATTTTATAAAATATGTCGTGTAAATGACTGCCTCGTTGGCCGAGTGGTCGCAAGTGCGACTTTCGAGCAAGGGGTCTCGGGTTTGATTCCCGGGTCAGGCAAACTACTACTGGGTTTAAAAAAAAACTCAGTGGTAGCACGGAGTCTGGAATTGTGCCCAGTATATGGCAATAGACTCACCCCCTGTTGACTCATAACATAAATAGTGAAAAGTGGGTGTTACATTGCACAGTGACATTAAGTGCCGTAATGTGCACCTCTGCTTACCCCTTCGGGGATAAAAGGCGTGATGCTATGTATGTCGTGTGAATAAGGGCCGGTGGCCCAATTACTCTGGCCCTCTCCAATCTCCGAATCCCCAACAATCCTATTCCTAACCTCAATAGGCTGGCAACGCTGTTGTGTCATTTGCGGCGCCGATTGCATACCATTCGATGATCCGTAACTTTAAACTATTATATTTCAGTATCTATTTTTAAGGTTTTAAGTTTTTATGTATATTTTTAAAATATTTTACACTAGCGACCCGCCCCGGCTTCGCACGGGTGCAATATGCACGTATTATACATACAAAACTTCCTTAAGAATCACTCTATCTATTAAAAAAAACCGCATCAAAATCCGTTGCGTAGTTTTAAAGATCTAAGCATACATACGGACATACAGCGAAAGCGACTTTGTTTTATACTATGTATTGAT